TCATTGTCCTTCCTCTTTTACACCTCCCTTCACCATTCCAAGTTAAGGATTGCCTGGTGATTCAGTTGGGTGATTTCCTTAATGTATGACCTATTCACTTCCAACGTCTTTTCCTAATTTCCTCTTCAGTTAAAAGCTGGTTTGTCCTCTCTCATAGTAGGCTGTTGCTAACAGTATCCGGCCAGTGAATGTTGAGTATTTTGCGTAAATAACTTTATAAATACTTGTACCTTCTTGACGATGGACTTAGTAGTAGTTCTCCACGATTCAACTCCGTACAGTAGGACTGTCTTGACATTCGTATTGAAGATTTTGACTTTGAAATTAGTTGATAGTTGTTTTGAGTTCCATATGTTCTTCAATGATAGAAATGCTGTCCTATGCTTTACCAATCATCACCTTTACATCTGCATCCGATCCTCCTTGTTTATCGATGATAATTCCCAGTTATGTGAATGTTTCCACCTCATCCAGAGTTTCTCCATCAAGTGTGACTAGGTTGGTGTTCTCCGTATTATATTTGAGAATCTTGAATTTATCACAAACCTTTCATTTAAATCATAATAATAATTTATAAAGAAAGAATATAATATATCACCATTATCATCATTGATAAACTTACACGAGATCTATTTAATAGTTCTTCTTTTTCCTTGAAAAGAAACATGTGATGAACTGGCGTCATATAGTTTAGTTCATTTTGTTGATTTTTGTTATTATATCAATGATATTTGTTGTTAAATAAGACTTATATTTCTTTTTTATAGGATAAACAAACCCTTATACAAAAAAAAACCCCATTCATTCATCATCTTCCATATGGGATAATGATTTATATAAAGATAATCATTTAAATAAAGTTTTATGGGAACAGATAGTTTCCCTTTTTTTTTCATTAATAAAACTGAAGTAAAACATGAAGTGCAAGAAAGAAACCAAAGAAAGGTAGATAAGTGAATATATTTTCAACTGTGAAAATTTTAACACTATCATTAAGAGACTTTTGTGTATATTAGAGAATAGATAAGTAAATCATAGTATTGACTGTATACTTCTAGTCAATTTACATAGTTTATAACATGATTGTAACGTTAGGTCTTCAAAATATTGTTCGTATCTGCTGGGATCACCGGGTAAGTAATAATGAGGTTAGACAGAGGGTATTAGGGAATGATGACAAATCAGTTGTCGAGGTCATAAATCTTCATTGACTGAGATGGTCAGGCCACGTGTTACGTATGCCTGAACATCGATTATCACGACGTGCTATGCTGACTAGTGTAGGGGATTTTTGGAAGAAAGTTAGGGGTGACCAAACCAAAACGTGGCATCAGTGCTTAAATTCACTAACTTTTAGTCTGAGCCATGTTGGCAGATGCAGACTACTTGGTTGGGGTCCGCGTAACCAATGGTTGGAGAATGTGAATGACATGGTTCAGGATCGATAACAATGGCGTAGGTATATACACTTTTTATCTTTCTACGATTAATTTCGATTATGGTGAATTTTCGTTTAGCTCTTTTACTAACTTAACAGACAATGTTATTCGAGCAGCAACAACTCATCCATTTTCTTGTACTATTATGATCACTATTTTGTTCGTATAGACGTGTATGCTTGATCATATGTGACAGCCTACGCATATATCTCTTTTTAGCTTAAATGTCGCTTTATAAGTCATTATCCTCCCCATGTATGGATGTAGTCGAATCCTAATATTAGACTTTGCCTTTCCTATCTGCGCCTTAATTCGATTTGACTATAAATTAACCTCTGTATTCGCTCGCTTAAATATATGTTAGCCTCTCTATTCTGTTACGGTCGACGTGCTTGTAACTTTGTTATCTGAGCTATCCGCTAACAAACTGTAGTTGCTGCTTCTTACTGCCTTCGGAATTCAAACAACATTGGTATTTTTATAATAACAGTTATCAGGATGATTGATTGACAAAATCAATCCACTACATCAGTTACGTCATAATAAATATATTACTTACCTTGTTTTCTAAATATTTTTGTTGTGTGGTAACGATATAAATTCTATTAATATTCGGTATCTATGCAGAAGCGAAGTTCTCAAATATGCTATCATCAAGTATGTAGTGAATATCTTCAAATTATTTTAATTAATACATAAACAGAGGAGTCATTTCTACGCTCCTTTGCGGAGGTTATTTCCTTCAAGTAATTTCAGTAATCAAATTATTGATGTAACTGTAATTTTATTCTGATTACTATAAATTATGACTTTACCTTCTTCCCTAATTTAGATGACCTTTCTTAACAGATAAATATACATCACCCTCAATGACATAAGGAGATTTATGCACTCTTCCTCTTCTAACCATGATATTTCGTTCAATTTTAAACAATCATCTAAAACACTATGGGCAACCGTACGTCAGTATTATCCTTTATAAACTGCTTTTTGTTGTCAACTGACGAGTGATGTTGTAAAAAATCTCTCAATGCACTGAGTTATTAAAATATCATAAACAATGCTTATAATAAGGTACTGAATAATCACCATAAATCGGACATTCGATGGATCTCCAAACCCGGTTTAATTTTGGGAAACAATTTATACTATCTACAAATTATATAAGTAGGCAAAACGTTACGGTAGAATCAAATATGCCATTAGGATTTATTATGGCACATTTGCAACCTCCTCCACACCCAAACATATAAGCAGTTATTAATCATACTATTATCTTGCCGTTGTCTAAAAATGATAAATATGATAACCATAATCTACGAATAAAGATAACATTTGAAATAACTAGGAATTATGAGCCGACAAGTCTTTTTCTCGGTAAATTTTAGGCTTATTGACATTCTATACTTATAATTTCCCCGTTTCTTTCGAAATACAGTACTATGAATATTGTTACCATCATAATCTTGTTTCTGAGTTTGTAAGCTCCATCCCCTGTTATGTTAATTTGAACAGATTAACAATCATATAATGTGCTATACATTGTCGATCAATGATTTAAGTAGCTGATAAAGAATATACAATTAACTAAACTAAAACCATTCCACGCCATCTAATTTACATTAAACCTCTTATCTATTAATGATTCAGAGATGTATAGAACAAGGAATATCGTCTGGATTATTACTCTGGTGTTCAACTTCATAAATAAATTACTTTGGAAAAAAATAATGGCAAACTAGCTAGGATTTATTAATTATATGAAAAACGAATTATATATAGTTAGCAGAGATGGATGGTGGCTAGCAATGGAATCCAGGACGCGCGTTTCGTCCTGTTTGGGACTCGTCAGCTGGATGTACTTGCATCTTAGAGTTGATGTTCACTCTGGCACTCGAACCCAGTACCCTCGCTTCAAACGCCATCGCGTTATCCACTCGGCCACTGAGTCCTGCTAACCATCATTGTGAATTAAGGTATATCGAGGCAATACGCACATTATGCACATATGCCAATTAGAGGCTGACCAGTTGCAGTCCTAACACATCGATGGGAAGATTAAAAAAAAAGCAATACTAATCGAATTATATATAGTTAGGGAAGTGATCTGATATCTAAGAATTAGTTATGTACAGTCAATTAAATAATTACAAGCACATTTTATAGTCTGTTCTATACTTGATCGATTAAGTTCATTCTAAGATCTGTAAAACGATAACACATTGCAGAATAAAGTTCCAACATAATTTTAACATCATGATTATCAGATTGTAGTGTATTGTAATGAAATACGAAACCAACCAACTTATTTACATTCCAATGCAGAAATAATGTCTTCAATAGCATGGTGAACATTTTTCATGGCTACCGAATTGATTATGGATAATCAATACATGTATTTCGAAGTCGCTACTTATGGATATGTTAAAATATCAAATATGTTATCTATCAGAAATAAGATTGTGCTTTTAACAACATATTCAACTGAGGAATTGTCCTGTCATTTTATTCTATTAGAACTGCATTACTTTTCCCTAAGTGGTAGTGTGAAGCATAGTGCAAGTATAGTTACCATTACATGGTAGCAATCATTTATATTAGAATCTCTATATCAAACTACAATCACATTTAATCGGATACTATTTACTTGTGTATTTATGATATAACTCAAAAACTATAACAGTTGTCTACGCAAGGTACTTCAGATCCGTTGGTCAGACTCTAACAGCAACAACCTACTGAGGGAGACAACAAACCAGATTCCAACGGAGGAAGAAACGTTGGAAGTGGATAGTACACATATTGAGGAAATCATCCAACTGTATCACAAGGCAAGCCCTCACTTTGAATCCCCAAGGCCAAAAGAGAAGAGGGAGACCAAAAAACACATTACGCCGAGAAATGGAGACAGACATGAGAAGAATGAACAAAAATTGGATAGAACTAGAAAGGAAGGCCCAGGACAGAGTGGGTTGGAGAATGCTGGTCGGCGGCCTATGCTCCATTGGGAGTAACAGGCGTAAGTAAGTAATAAAGTAAACACCTACAGGATAGAGAAAAAATAAGTAATACATTTCTTATTTAACAAAAGAAATTTCTAATTGGCTCTTTTATTTTAACGTTTATGCCGAGATTATCAATTTCAAGAAGATATACGGGGAATGAACACAACCATTTGAGTTGAATTACATGTAAAAAAACAATATTAAAACATAAATCAGTATAATACAGGTGCAGTGAACGAAAACACCACTGGTGACAATCGAATGTATTTAGACACAAATTATCTCATTAAATTCTGTTAACCATACAGTAGTAAACAGTTAATTTGCAAAATAACAACCAATTATCTTAATCTTCACTGTTTCTTCTGTAAATATCAGTTCATCTTCTCTAATTTCCATTGTTCATTCATTTTCCTACCAATTGCGCTTCATTTCAGTTCTTTCCTTTATCGGTTTTCTGCCAAAATACATTCTATGCCTGACCATCGCCATATACTACTTATATGGATATACGTAGACCACACTACGCAAGTATATTTCATTGATTTATTTAAACATAAATTTTGGTACAAGGAAGCACCAGATAGATATGCGCCACACAAATCGAATGAGATTTGTGTGAGGGCTGTGATACTGTCCAGGTGCCCAAACCGAAGCAGGTGGTTTTCTTAAAGGGCCACACCCCGAGCCTTTGACCTAAAGGTCTGATCCACAAGGCAGTGGAGCATCTTAAGGAGATGCAGTCCCATGGTAGCCGGTGACCAACGATTGATTCATACTCCATTTGTTCCTTCAGGATACTGGAGCCCATATGCACCATTGGTTTGGAATCAGGGTTTTCCAACTCGCGTAGGTGCACTTTTCGTGTCCGACAACCCGGTTAAAGCGCTGGACATTCGCTATTTACCACAGATACAAAAAAAGAACTTTCTAGGTTTATATATTTTATCTATAAAAATACATTCTTACCAAGGACACCAATGAATAGAATGCATATATCACATGAATATAAATGAAAAATAACAAAAGAATCATACAATACATGAATAGAAAATATGAAATAATTAAGGGGAAACATACATAATGAACAACAATATATATCTTCGTTCTTCCTCCTCATATACATACAACAATAGAATGGTAAGGAAAAAAAATTAAAAATAAAACTGTTAATATTACTTATTTATCTTCTTTTTCAGTAGTATGGTATTGGAGAAGCGAGAGAGGGAGTGGAAAAAAAAGAAACAAATGTAAAGTCATTTTATTCAGTGTATTCTTTCTTTTTAAAATAACCCGTGAGAATGAGTGAGTGAGTAAGGGGGGATCCAAGAAAAAAAGGAAAAAAATAAAAGTCTAAACATGAAAATCATAGCAGATATAGGATCAGAAAAAAAAAGAAAAACAAACAAACAAACAAAATAAGTCAAATAACATACACACACACATACATATGTATGTTGACAATTATCATTGATAGACATTGTAAAGTATATATAAAAAAAGTAATTTATTTCATTAAAGCCTTGACAACAGCATTTACGGATAATTGACGAAGATCAGAATAAGTTTGACCTGTACCAACAAATACAATAGGTTGATTTGATATACATGCCATTGAAATAGCAGCTCCAACCTGAGAAAAAAAATATTTGTGGAATTAATTAGTGAGTTCAAAGAGTGAATAATCACTGAGTCAAATGTAACATGGAAATGAGTACATGTGTACATCAGTTTAATTTGAAAATAATTAACAAGCCCTATTCACTGCCTTCTCGTGGCATTATTGTTGTTTACGAAATTGAGAGGACGAAAAGCGAATGTCCCTACTCTACGATCTTTCTTGAGATTGGTTAGTCATTACGAAACTTTTCTTCCTGATCTTCATCATTTGCATGCCCTGCTGAATTTTTTACTAACAAAGTATAAAAAATGGATCTCGTCAACAGAATATCAAGAAGCATTCCTAAAACAGCTCCTATCGTCAAGTCTTCTACTTACGAACTATGATTCGGCCCTTCCTATTGTGGTCGCAGCAGATGCGTCAAGTTATGGAATTGTAGCAGTGATTTCGCGTATCTACCCCGATGGATCTGAGAAAGCGATTGCGATAGCATCATTTAAGCCTTCGGTAGCAAGTGAAGATGTGGATAATTCATACATGACCTGGATAAGATCGAGTCTGCTTCTTACACATTTTTTTAACGAATTTGAAAATGTTTGCAGAATAAATGTCGTTCATATTCTAGAAATAACTGGTTGCTTATACGATAATAGTTTAGTTCAACAGTGAGCAAATGCTTTCTGCAATCTATACATTCTCCAACAATTTATTCGGCTCTCAGATGATAATTGTTGTTTTATAGCTAAAAAGCAGAATGTGAAGGTTAATTGCTATTTTCAGGGGATAAAGATACCACCCAGGGCAAACGAACGGAACAAAATCCAGGAACACAACAACAAGATCAGCTGTTTTACTGCGCCTAAGCCCTGGTAACTAGAGGGAGAAGACCAGATTCAGTCGGGAAAATATAAATATTCCATGAGCAGCCAGGAAGAATGAACAACGAGCACACAATTCATGTGTATATATACAATATAAAAATGTCCTTGAAAAGCGTCACAAAATAGCATACTAAAAGAGTAAACGAAAAAATGGAATTTAAGTTCCTACCACTTAGGAAACAACCTGATGGCAAAAGTGGGAGTTTTTGACGGGAAAATGAGAAATTTACATCTCCATTATAAAATTACCAATCGATTTCCAGAGATCTAACATTCCCAGCATATATACATACACATTTTAGATGAAAATTAATTTTCTAACAGCTAAAATGTCGAGAAGAATATAGTGTTAATTTTGAGAGCATTCACCTCAGTCAGCTACAACGTAGGACCAGCCACATTTATGCATCGGTTCAAGTTGCCATATCTCGTTAGCACAACAAGATGAACACCGGATTCATAGAAATAGTTTATTTAGTGGTGGTAGTATATAAAAGGAAGGTTGTATATAAGGATATAGTATAGGAAGGAAGAAAATTATGAAGCGATTTTAATCTTAAGGTTTAAGGGAAGATAACGAGTGTATACACCTACGACATTGTGATCGATTCTGAGCCATGTCACCTAGAGTCTCCAAAGATTGGTTACAATAGTCACGCAGACCCCAACCAGGTAGTCTGCATCAACCAACATGGCTCAGACTAGAAGTTAGTGACTTCAAGCACTGATGCCACGTTTTGGTTTGACCTACCTAAAACATTCTTCGTATTGGAGATTTATGCATAGTTATTAAAGGTTATAATTCAATGGATAAAAGTGTACTACTTATATAAGTTAAAACTAAGAACAAGTGTGTAAATGTATTCACCTTTTATTTTTCCTAACTGATTTCTGTTCTTCTTTCAATTAACATTAAATAGTTAGTGTTAATTAACTGAATAAGGGGTAACTCAAATCAACGTTTTATTAAACTATCTACTATTCATGTATTCCTTAATTTATTTGAATTTATATTATATCTCCAGGAGATAAAAGATACGAAAATGTTTATTAAAACACATTTTTCAATACCTTATCATCAATTGTATCGAATTTAGTCAATACAATTCCATCAATGCATCTAGGGCGATCAGAATAGCTATGATCTGCAAGTGATTGATTGAATTTAACCAGTTGATCAACTGCTTCATTACCAACCAACGCTTCACCAACGAATAACACAAGATCTGGTTGGTTGGTTTGAATCAGCTAGAGAAGGAGGGGAGAAAGGGTCAGAGAATTGAGAACACTTTTGAACACACAATTTAGTGAAAAAAGATTTTACTATTTCAACGACAGACATTAAAATTACAGAGAAATTGTTGTGAGATCTCTATAATGAACTGATAATATTATAAGTAGGTGTCTGTATACAACAAATGCAAATGACGGTAGTCAGTGTGGAAGTGGCCTCTGTAAGAGTAAGCTTTAGCATTTCCAAGAGAAAAAGCAAGACCTAGAAATACAACACAACGAGAACCAACCAATCAAATTACACTTGATGGAGATGCTATGGAAGAGGTGGGAAGTTATACGTACATGGGAGTATCATTGATAAACAAGGACAACATTCCTAAATTTAAAGAACACCTAGAACTGAAAAAACACTAAAAACAAAAACAACGCCCCCAAATGGTACGGCCGAGAGTGAGGAGAGTCACCTCTCCCTCTCGAAATACTCTCATATGGCCAGCGAATGTATAGCCTCTGCCAAAGGAGTCCTACTCACTGCCTTCTCGTGGCATTATTGTTGTTTACGAAATTGAGAGGACGAAAAGCGAATGTCCGGCGCTTTAACCGGGTTGGTGGACATGGAGGGTCCACCTAGGGGAGTTGGAAAACCCTCATTCCAAACCAATGGTGCACATGGGCTCCAGTATCCTGATGGAACGAATGGCGGAAGAACCTGTCATTGGTCAACGGCTACCATGGGACTGCATCTCCTCACGATGCTCCACTGCCTTGTGGATCAGACCTTTAGGTCAAAGGCTCGGGGTGTGGCCCCCTAAGAAAACCACCTGCTTCGGTTTGGGCACCTGGACAGTATCACAGCCCACACACAAATAAATGAAATGATGAACTCAATTGACGATACTATTCCTGCTCACATTAGAAGCAAGACAATTTACATTATTATTATTATTTACCATATCGCTAACTCACCCCCTTTTATCCCCAATTTGTGTAACCTTACTTTACAACTTATGCAGCAGCTCGCCCATGGTGGAAAATCTGTCCGATCTAAACGATCTCCAGTCACTGTCTGGTTGAAAGTGAATGCTTCCACCGATTATGAATACTGAAGCAGTCTTTCTGAAACCACGTACGCCGTTCAAGCTGGCTTCCTTCAACGTTCGCACACTAATGCATATCAGACAACAGATAGGGCTGGCTATGTCTTTGGAAGGTCTTAATGTTGATGTTTGTTGTCTATCCGAGACCCGTATTCAAGACTCTAGTGAAGTACTACAAATCCGCTCTCCATCTGTCGCTTCGAAAAGCTTGTTCCACGTGCGCTTATCCGGGAACCCTGTGGCATCTTAGTCTGGTCTTGCTGGCGTTGGTGTCGCACTAAGCGCTAGGGCTGAGGCAGCACTAATCGACTGGATCCCCATTAACAGTCGGTTATGTGCTGTTAGATTAGAAAGTTCCATCAAAGTGAGAAGAAATCGGCGTGAGAATCGGTGTCTTTCGTCATCTCCGCCTATGCACCGACAGATTGCAGCCCGGATGCAATCAAGGATGAGTTTTACCATCAGTTAACAGTTCTTCTCCAGAAAGCGCGTTCGAGAGATATTGTAGTACTAGCCGGAGACTTGAATGCAAAGGCCGGACGTCTAGGCACAGAAGAGAGTCGTTTAGGTGGCCGATGGGGACTTGTTGGTCGCAGGACAGATAACGGGGACCGTTTGCTGCAACTGTGCACAGACCACAACCTGTTTCTGGCCAGCACTAACTTCCGGCACAGTCATCGCCGGTGTGCCACCTGGCGTCCTCCCTCTGCATCTCAAGCCCGGACTCAGATTGATCACATCGCGATCAGCTACCGCTGGCGTGGTTGTGTACAAGGCTGCCGCTCCTTTTGGAGTACCTATCTGGAGTCTGATCATCCCCTGGTCTGCGCCAATCTCACCTTACTTTTCAGTGGCCGAAGGATTGACCACCACCAACGGATCGATGTTAGTAAACTGGCTGCAACTTCTGTTGCAAGTAAGTATCGAGCGGAGCTAGCCTCTAGGCTAGCCACCATCCCACCGAAAAGTATAGATGAGTATTGGTTGCTTCTTCACGACGCCATGAAAATGGCGAGTAAAGCCGCTTGCGGATCGCGAAACGTCCCGCTTACAAGCACTGGGTTTCTTCTGGCTCCTTACAACTGATAGAAGCCCGTCGGTCTACTCCGGGTGACCGTGAGTTTGACCACAAACGAAGGCTGTTACGTAATGAAATCGGGCAAAGCTTGCGTAAGGACCGGGAAGCCTGGTGGTCGGAGCGTGCTAATGAGATGGAAGCAGCAGCTGCATCTGGTAACTGCCGGAAGCTCTTCCAACTCATCCGAGTAACTGGCAGCAAGAAGTCTGGTGTGAGTGAAACAATCTACGAGGATGATGGGATGCCAATCACTAATATCTCTCGACGTCTTGGACGATGGGCGGAATTCTTCGAAGGGCAGTTCAACTGGCCTGCTGCTCCGGCAACATCAACCAGCTTGTGATGAGATTGATGCACGTATAATGAAAGCCAGAGCGGCTTATGCAAATCTGGGCCATCTTTGGCGCCTTCGTGATGTTAGTCTGGCTGTAAAAGGTCGGATCTACAACGCGTCGGTGAGAGCAGTTTTGCTCTATGCTTGTGAAACCTGGCCTCTACGAGTTGAGGATGTTAGACGACTCTCTGTGTTCGATCATCATTGTCTCCGAAGGATTGCTGACATTCAGTGGCAACACCATGTTAGTAATGCAGAGGTTCGGCATCGTGTGTTCGGGCGCAGAGACGATAATTCAATTAGTGTCACCATCTTGAAACACCGACTTCGGTGGCTTGGACATGTTTTACGAATGTCGTCCCAGAGGCTTCCACGTCGTGCATTATTTGCCGACCCTGGGACTGGTTGGAAAAAGCGGAGAGGAGGTCAGTGTATGACATGGTGTCGTGGCATGAAAGAAAGCTGCAAAGGGCTAGCTTCTGTTGGTCCTTCACCAATCCCTGGCTGGGGTCCGAGAGATGGTGCGATACAGTGGACAGAGACGTTATCAGATATGGCTCAGAATAGAAGCCAGTGGCGATCCTGCTGCAACCTTCTTTTACTTTCTACATAAAGAATGGTTCTAACTTTCCTAACTGAAAGAGTCTTCTGGTTGTACATTTCAGTCCCCCTTATCTTTTCATCCCTTCTTTTCCTACTTTCATTATTTTGTGTGGCGCATATGTACCTGGTGCCCTTTTGTACCAATATATATGTGTTTGGTTGGTGGACATGGAGGGTTCATCTAAAGGAGTTGGGAAACCCTGATTCCAAACCAATAGTGCAAATGGGATCCAAAATTGTGAAGGGAAAAAATGGAGTATTAAACTATTATTGGTCACCGACTACCGTGGGACTGCATCCCCTAACGTTACTCCACTACCTTGTGGATTAGACCTCTAAATCAAAGGCCCGGGAAGTGGCCTCCTAAGAAAACTACCTATTTCGATTTGGCGCCCCGGCGGCATCGCAGTCCGCACACATATCAATCATAACTAATACTTGCCTCATTGTTATTGTGTGGCTCATATGCATTTGGTACCTCTTTGTACCAATATTTATGTGTTCAAACAAATAAATAAAGCTCTAAATAGTGCACGCCATGTCGAACCTTCTAGATTAATGACCACACTGCAACTTGGTCGATTGAATTTGATCTAGACTTAGAGGGAACTTACACACACGACATTGACCACTACCCAGTGATCAATCAATTGTAAACCATTGCAACTATCATCAAAAAGGTACAGGTATTTATAAACCATGGTTTATGCGCGATACTTCGTATCCGTTGGCCAGATATTATCAGTAACAATCTACTGTGGTAGAGAAAAAACTGGCTTCTAGCTGGATAGGAAATCAGAAAAAAGACGTTGGAGATGGATAGATTACACTTTAAGGAAATCATCAAACTGCATAACAAGGCAAGCCTTAAATTAGAATCCTCAAGGCAAGAGGAAAAGAGGGAGACCGAAGAACACATTTTGTCAGGAATGGGAAGCAGATATAAAAAAGTGGACAAAACTTGGCAACAATCGGAAAGAAGAACCCAAGACAGAAGGTTAGGGATTGCTGGCCTATGATCCACGACAGTTAACAGTTGTTAAGCAGGCAAGTAAGCACCGAATGAGAACAGGTTACTGCATAGAAAATACCTTTGCCGTGAAATGATAAATATAAATGGCCACCTGATTTCAGGACTGTATAACCCAAACTTTTTTAACCTTATTTAGGATATGAGCCATATTAGTAGTAATGAAAAAACTGTAGATAATAATGATTTGCCTAAACCTATGTATGCATGAGGGCAGAATTATGGTGAGACGAATGAGACTGAAGTATGTAACATGATGGAGTCTAAGCCGAAGGCAAGATTATTATCATCTTGTTGTCCTGGTACGGTAAAGCGACTTTGGCTTACCCTGATTTGTACCAAACTTTAAGTAGATATCTAACTGAATTAATACAACTATAAATTTGTAAGCTATAAGAATAGTTTAATTATTGATTCTGATTTAAAATAAAATAATTTCTTATCAAGAAAAATATGTGGCTTACCGAAGCTAAAGCACGCATTAATGGTTCATTGTCTTGCATACGCCCAGCTGTGTCCACAAGTACAACATCAAAGTGTCGATCACGGGCTATTAGAAACGACAATACAAACAATTGATAAGTAATCTAAAATTTATAATGTTCCTATGTAGTAAGAGTAGAATTTAATGTGTGTTTCAGGCAAACTACTGTACTAATGGTTCGTAACCCAATTATTCTTATGGTTTGAATTGAGTGTATGTATTTGAAATTAATGAGGCAATACAAAGAAGCGACTGACATCGATTTTTTTTCTTACTGAACGTTTGAGCCGGTTTCCTAAGCTCTTCTAAGAACCACAGGCCAAATCTACACGACAACCTGAACACGAGTGAATAGGCGCAAAGTGTGAAAAGAACGCTTTATCCCAAGTTTAGTTTTATGTACAGAAACCGAGGGTATGAATAGTATTTCAGATGATCTTTGATTTTTGGAAGGTTCTGGAACTATATTGAACACAGCAGTATGATAGGTAATCCAATCAGAAATGTGACACGTGACGCCTCACTTTCTATATGTTTCTGAGAAACTTATATTCAATGGTGGTTGGATAAAATGTTTCCAAGAGTTTTCAGGACCCCTCTGAACTTTTTCGAGGAATACTTTAGATCCCCCCCTCGAAGATTACAGTAAAACAGGATTAGTAGTTTTATCATTCGATTTGATAATGGGGCTTTTCAACATTAAGAGCTATAGTATACAGTTTAAAACACGGTTTCAGGGGACCAAAGATGATATTTTGTGAGTTTGAATCACTGCTTCTAATCACACGATCAAAAGGTTGCTGTGATATGATAATCGAATTATTCGATATATAACGGACTGAAATTCTATCGATTAATGAGTATCCATTCTGACTGAAACCAATGATCCATAGCTATCACACCAATAGCTAAAGAATATAAACACATCAAGATTCTAAAAGAGATGATACAAATGAACACAGTGAAGTACAGTTTAATGATCAATTACTGAATTTTGTAGTGATTTTTGAATTTTGTCTAATGTGTAATGATTACATCTACAATCTGGATGAATGAAAGGTAGAATGGAAATTAAACCTGATATCTAGTGATAGAAATTAACTTGTTCGAATCACCTAACTATAGATAAACCACCAAATAAACGCTTACCGTGAACTTCTTAAAACCATTAAACATATATATAATAGTGAATGTAATAGTACACTTTATTACCATAATTAATTGCAGAACGAGCTATTGACGCTGCATCACGACCATATCCTTGTTCATACAGCTCAACCATAGTTTGACCACCATGCTGATCAGCTGGATGAATGTAATTTAATTTACGTACATGTGTACGCAGTTGTTCCACAGCACCAGATCGAAAAGTATCACAGGCAGCTATAAGGACACGGAAATTCTTCTCGATAAGCCAAAAAGCGATCTATAGGAAAAGTGAAATACCTTTGTAATTATTAATTTCATGTATGAACGAATAGTTTAGTACAATTTTATTGTTAGTGAAAATCTTGTAAAAATTATACTTAAAATAATCCCAGAGATTGAAGGGAAAAAATGGAGTATGAAACTATTTATGGTCACTGACTACCGTGGGACTGCATCTTCTAATGTTACTCCACTACCTTGTGGATTAGACCTTTAGGTCAAAGGCTCCAGGTTTGTCCTCCTAAGAAAACTACCTATTTCGGTTTGGAAGCCCCGGCAGTATTCTAGCCCTCACACAAATCGAATGAAGTGTGGAGTATATATATTTGGTATCCCCTTGTACTAATATTTGTGTTCAAATAAATAAAATAATATTTAAAAACTCTATAGGGTAATCTTTTGCCCTAAATGTGGACAATAATACATTCAATTCAGTCTGTTGGTCTTCCTTCTCTGTAATGATATTAATACTCCTGTTAATTAAATTCACATATAACTGACTCATATTATCCCACTGACAAAGTTAACATGTGAGTATGATTGGATAAGCACAACAAAGATTTGATTTGATTGTTAGACATGATATATTCTTTGATAATTTTGACTTTGATTATTTACTCTGTAGAAGTTCAGACAAATTTGCTGAACGAAATGTTGGAATTATTTAAGTTTTAATCGCTGAAATTATTTTAAGTATAATTTCTACGAATAATGTCTTCCCTATATTCAGGGCCCAATATCTGTCAAACTATTTGTTTAAATAATGACAGATATTCGTAAAAACATCTTGAAAGTTCATAAACTATTCAAAACAATGTATTCATAGTAAGTGATACAATTGGCATGAAATAATGTAGTTGCAAGATAATTTAAGATGATAAATCAAACAACTGATAAGACTGGTAAGCAAAGATGGATAGTGGTTAGCAGTTGAATACAGGACGCGCGCCAATTAGTCCTATTTGGGACTCGTCAGCTGGATGTACCTGAATCTCAGAGTTGATGTTCACTCTGGCACTCGAACCCAATACCTTTCGCTTCAAACGCCATCGCGTTATCCACTCGACCACTTACTTGTGCGATGGGGTGACGATACTCCACTGCCTTGTAGATCAGATCTTTCGGTCAAAGGCTCCGGGTGTGGGCCCTTAAGAAAACCACTTGCTTTAGTTTGGGCACCTGGGCAGTATCACAGCCCTCACACAAATCGAATGAGATTTGTATGGCGTATATATATCTGGTGCTTCCTCGTACCAATATTTGTGTTGAAATAAAATAATAATAAACTGCAACTGGTCAGTCTCTAATTGGCATATGTGCATACTGTGCGTATTGCCTCGATATAGCCTAAACTCACAAGCATGGTAAGCGAAGATGGATATTGGATTCGAGTCCCAGAGTGAACATCAACAAATCTGAGGTGCAAGTACATCCAGCTGACGAGTCCCAAATAGGACGAAACGCGAGTCAAACTGAATTCCACTGCTAGCCACTATCCATCTTTGCTTACCATGCTTGTGAATTTAGGCTATATCGAGGCAATACGCACAGTATACACATATGTCAATAAGAGACTGACCAGTTGTAGTCCTAAATATCAATGGAAATATTCAAACAAACAATACCAAGTTGAATTTAACTGATAAGACTGTATATATTTATCAACGAAACCGGTTAAAATAGTAAATAAACATCTATCATAAAAGCCAGAAAGAGTGTGTACATTTACACCTGATAATTTATTTAAAGTCGAAAATCATTGACTGTTGATCTGAACGGTGTTAATCCGGGTATGACATAATAATTATGACCAATGGTTGAGGAAACGTTAGGTGATACTGTTCAAAATCAATCACAGAGTAATGCAGGTGTTTTGATTATTTATCTTCCACTGAATTGTGCATTTCAATATTATTTTAAAATATTTTTTCTATTCATTGATATTAGTATATCGACTCCTAAACTATATCTTCTTTGGATAAGTTCTCGCCATACTGACGTGTTATGGTAGCTTGGGCAACTACATATTTCTTACTTACTCTAAATTACGGTTCAGTGATTTATGTTAAAGTCAACCAGTCATATGTGAAAAACTCCGCCTGTAGCTCCTCCAGGGGCTACTGCCGGTCCCAAGCCCGGGTAAAGGAGGAGGGTTGGGCATGGGGTTAGCGACCCCATCCCGTAAAAAATCAACTCGCTAAAAAAACGCTAACCAGAAAAAATCATTCAAACCTTTCAAACTCTGCCCTGGGAGTAGAAGGAATAATTATGACGTCTCATGATGAAAGCCGAGTTCCTTCGGAAGTCATGAGGCCGATGCACCTTCTTGCAACCAGAGCGACAATTTTTATAGGTACATGGAATGTCCGGACAATGTGGGAGACCGAAAGAGTCTTCCAAATTGCTGCAGAAATGAGAAAATACAACCTGGAAGTGCTTGGAATCAGTGAAACACATTGGACGCAGGTTGGACAACAACGACTGTCTTCAGGAGAACTTCTGTTATACTCCGGTCATGAAGAAGAAAATGCCCCACATACACAAGGAGTGGCACTGATGCTGTCTAGAAAAGCACAAAATGCACTTATAGGATGGGAATCTCATGGACCAAGGATCATCAAAGCCTCCTTCAAAACAAAGTGAGAGGGCATTACAATGAACGTCATTAAATGCTATGCGCCGACCAATGACTACGATGAAGACGCTAAAGACCAATTCTACGATAGGCTGCAGTCGATCGTCGAGAAGTGCCCAACCAAAGACCTGACCATTCTAATGGGAGATCTCAATGCCAAGGTTGGAAAGGACAACACTGGATACGAAGACGTCATGGGACAACATGGACTGGGAGGAAGGAACGAAAACGGTGAGAGATTTGCAAACCTATGTGCCTTCAATAAACTGGTCATAGGTGGCACCATATTTCCACACAAAAACATACACAAAGCCACTTGGATTTCACCGGATCACACTACACAGAATCAAATCGACCATATCTGCATCAACAAAAAGTTCAGGAGGACGATTGAGAATGTGAGAACCAGAAGAGGAGCTGATATAGCATCCGATCATCATTTGCTGGTCGCCAAGATGAAACTAAAACTCAAGAAGCACTGGACAACGGCGCGGACAAAATCACAAAAGTTTAACACGGCCTTTCTTCGAGATGCTGACAAACTCAACAAATTCAACATAGCCCTCAGCAACAGGTTCGAGGCCTTTCATGACCTACTCAATGGACAGGGGACTACCATGGAGAGCAACTGGAAAGGTATCAAGGAGGCAATCGTTTCAACATGTCAGGAGGTTCTGGGCCAAAAGAAGCACCATCACAAGGAATGGATCACTGTTGGTACACTGGATAAAATTGAAGAAAGAAGGAACAAGAAGGCAGCAATCAATATCAGCCGAACAAGAGCAGAAAAAGCCAAGGCACAAGCCGAATACACAGAGGCAAACAAGCAAGTGAAGAGGAGCACCAGGACCGACAAACGTAAATATGTGGAAGATTTAGCAACGACAGCGGAAAAGGCTGCAAGAGAGGGAAACATGAGACAACTGTATGATACAACAAAGAAACTTGCTGGAAATTACCGTCAACCAGAAAGACCAGTGAAAAACAAGGAAGGCAAAGTAATCAACGATATTGAAGAACAACGAAACAGGTGGGTAGAACACTTCAAGGAACTCTTGAATCGACCAGCTCCACTGAACCCACCCAACATCGAAGCAGCACCCACAGACCTCCCATTCGATATTGGCCCACCAACAATTGAAGAGATCAGCATGGCCATTAGACAAGTCAAGAGTGGCAAAGCAGCGGGACCAGACAATATCCCGGCAGAGGCACTGAAAGCAAATGTAGCAGCAACTGCCAAGATACTCCACATCCTCTTCAGTAAGATTTGGGACGAAGAACAAGTACCAACAGACTGGAAAGAAGGACTTATTATCAAAATACCAAAGAAAGGTGATCTTAGCAAGTGCGACAACTACAGGGGCATCACTCTCCTCTTAATACCAGGAAAAGTCTTCAACCGAGTATTGTTAAACAGGATGAAGGATTCCGTGGACGCCCAACTTCGAGATCAACAAGCTGGATTTCGTAAGAATAGATCGTGCACAGATCAAATCGCAACTCTACGTATCATTGTGGAACAATCAATCGAATGGAATTCATCACTGTACATCAACTTCATCGACTACGAGAAGGCATTTGATAGCGTGGACAGGACGACACTATGGAAGCTTCTTCGACACTACGGCGTGCCTGAGAAGATAGTCAACATCATACGGAACTCCTATGATGGACTAAACTGCCAAATCGTCCACGGAGGACAACTCACCGACTCGTTCGAGGTAAAGACCGGTGTTAGGCAAGGTTGCCTACTCTCACCCTTTCTCTTTCTCCTGGTCATCGACTGGATTATGAAGACGTCAACATCTGGAGGAATGCACGGGATACAGTGGACAGGCAGGATGCAGCTTGACGATTTAGACTTCGCGGATGATCTGGCTCTTCTATCACAAACGCAACAACAAATGCAGGAGAAAACGACCAGTGTAGCAGCAGCCTCAGCAACAGTAGGTCTCAATATAAACAAAGGGAAAAGCAAGACTCTCCGATACAATACAATATGCACCAATCCAATTACACTTGACGGAGAAGCTTTGGAGGATGTGGAAATCTTTACATATCTGGGCAGCACCATTGATGAACACGGTGGATTAGATGCAGATGTGAGGGCGCGGATCGGCAAAGCAAGAGCAGCATACTTACAACTGAAAAACATCTGGAGCTCAAAACAATTGTCAACCAACACCAAGGTTAGAATTTTCAATATAAATGTCAAAACAGTTCTACTGTATGGGGCGGAGACGTGGAGAACTACGAAAGCAATTATCCAGAAGATACAAGTGTTTATTAACAGCTGTCTACGCAAGATACTTCGGATCCGATGGCCAGACACTATCAGCAACAAGTTACTGTGGGAGACAGCAAACCAGATTCCAGCGGAGGAAGAAATCAGGAAGAAGTGCTGGAAGTGGATTGGGCACACTTTGAGGAAATCACCCAATTGTGTCACAAGACAAGCCCTCACATGGAATCCTGAAGGTCGAAGGAGAAGAGGAAGACCAAAGAACACATTACGCCGAGAAATAGAGACAGACATGAGAAGAATGAACAAGAACTGGAAAGAACTAGAAAAGAAGGCCCAGGACAGAGTGGGTTGGAGAAAGCTGGTCGGCGGCCTATGCTCCATTGGGAGTAACGGGCGAAAGTAGTAAGTAAGTAAGTCATATGTGAAAAGGAACCTAGAACATACGTACATCGGTTTAAGTTACCACACCACGTTAGCATAGCGAGATCAAATTATAAAGCTGATTCCGAGATTAGTAGAAGTAGTAACAGTATCGGTAGTAGAAAAGATCAAGTCTAAAGAGAGAAGAAAAAGCATAAGGGGATTTCTAGACTCATGATATAAGGTATCAAATCATTTCACAAAAAATGTATATTCTGTAGATTATTAACTTATCTCATGAGTAGTTATACACATAGTCTGAATATAAGCACTTTAACAAACATTATATTCACAGAATATTCTTTTTTACATACCAATCCTTTCACTCATAAATCGAGTGATAATACTTCTTTAAAGTAATGAAAAATCATTATTTGCACGGTCGATAAGTAGCTTGGTGGTTAAATCACTCAGTTTTCAATAATCGGTTTGTACGTAAGTTTGTATCTTGTTCCAGCTATTCTCGTTTAGATACGTGGATAGTATTACTGGTTTATGCAAAAACTGTGATCTAAAGCAGAGTGAACGAATCGATTGCTGACTTGCTGGTTATTACATTAAATACACTTTAGCACAAAAACAACTTTGATATGCACAAATGAAAAATATTTGTAGTAATAAATTAGTTAAATGACACACCTTAGCCAGATTTGTCGATTTTCCAACACCATTAACACCACAGAAAACAATACTGTATGGTCTTCCTTGAGTACGCGCATCCAGTGCATCACGAAGAACATCGACTCGGCGACCAGAAACTAAAATTCGAGAACAAACTTCTTCCAAACTAGCTCGAACGCGGGGGTAAATCCTTTCAAACGTTCCGAGCGATGTGCCAACAAGGCGATCAGAAACGTTCGAACAAACTCTATCAGCGATTGACATAGCAACATTTTTACCAACAAGGCGTTCTCTAAGTTGCTCAAGACAAGGTGCAATGTCTTCTCGAGTTAAAACACGCCCAGAACCACCAGTAATGCGTAAACCACGCAATAAACTTGAGGCAAAACCACCATTGATATAACCTGACTATTATAAATAAAAAGAAAATGCACACATGATTTTCCGATCTTTTAAGATTTTAGACATTAAAAAAATCGATTATTCATAATGATCTACAGAGCCAAACAGGCTGAGAAATTTATTTCCTTATTCATTCGAATTTAAAATAAACAATACAAGTATCTATTAGGACGTAAAATTAGACATTAAATGGATAAAAGAGGACTGAAGCAGTCCAAGTAGATTGACGAACCTTTGTTTGTTTATTATCAAGTGAACTCTTTTGAAGTTGAGAGTCAGTTGGTAAACCATTCTGTTCAACTGATTCATTCTCTTTAAGCTCCAAGGAATCGACGTCTTCATCACCTGAAGAGACATTAACTTCATCTAAATCATCTTTCATTGTCCCACGGAGACGAGATAGCGTTTCTATTTCCGTAGCAGAAAAGTTATAATCAGATTTTTGGTTTCCTGTTGACTCTGTATGATTCATACCACTAAAATCCAAGGCTGCTGCCTCCTCACCAGTTGCTGAGTTATCCCACCGACGGCTTTCTTTGATTTTCTTACCATTAGGTTTTTGCATAGGTGACAATGAAGGGCTAGACGAATATAAGGAAACATGTTAAGTACCAATAAAATAAATATGGAATCAATAATTGGGAATGATATATATATATATATATATATAAACTGATGTTAAACACTGTTTTGTGAAACATCATATATTCCTCGATAACTTCGATTTTGATTATTACCCCGAAGAAGTCCAGATAAGTCTGGTGGACGAAACGCTTGGAAAATTCAACTGCCAAAATTAGTTCAAATCACAACTTTCACAGATGTCTTCTCTACACTTGGCGTCCAGTTTCTGTCTAACTATTCGTTCAAACACTGACGAATATTTGTATAGACTTGAAGATGATTATGATAAGCGTTAGTAATTTGTTGCAGAGATGTAATCGAAATCTTAATGTGATTCAGAGGGTAAGTGCTATCAATTCATATACACTTTTTAAGTAATCTTGTAAAATCAATAAAAATTTCATAAATTTTATGTCCAACACGCCCAAACAGAAGCAGGTAGTTTTCTTAAGGGGCCACTTTTCTAGCCTTTGATCTAAAGGTCTAACCCGCAAGGCAGTGGAGCAACGTAAGGTGATGCAGTCCCATGGTAGCCGGTGATCAACGATCGGTTCATACGCCATTTGTTTCCTTAGTATACTGAAGCTCATGTGCACCATTGGTTTTGGATCTGGGTTTTTCAACTCCCCTAGGTGGATACTCCGTATCTAACATCCCGGTTGAAACGCTGGACATTAGATTTTCGTCCTCTCACTTTAATGAACAACACCCCGGCTGCGAGAAGGCAGTGAGTAGGACTTCCCTGGCAGGGGCTATATAGGCGTGGCCATGTGAGAGCATTTGGAGAGGGAGAGCTGAATCTCCCCGCTCTCGACCGTATCAAGGCTTTGGGGGGACCAGGATAGAAGTCAGTGGCGATCTTGCTGTAGCTTTCTTTTACTTCATAAAAGTAAACCTCTTTAACTGAAAGAGTTCATTCTGGTTGTATTTTCCCAACTGATCCAAACTAGGACCATCTCTATGGTTTTCTCCATATCCATAAAGCAGTAAGCCTTGCAGATTTTATGAGCTACCGAAAACACATAAAACAGATGTCCCACTAAGACCTGTGGTTGATTATACAAATTCACTAACCTACAATCTTTCTAGATACCTGACCAAGATTTTTTAACTATATGAAGGTGTAATCAAATACGGAACAGAAAATTCTAATGAGTTCAAAGACATTGTCACTACTATCCTCATAGAAGATGAATTAATGACAAGGTTTGATGCATGCTGATTGTTCACTAATGTTGCAGTTAAGAAAGCTTTAGATATTGTATATAATCTCTTATATTCCGACACAACTTGAACAATGATGTCTACTAGGCCCCTTAGACATTATTAAAGCGTTGGATCTACGTTTGAATTCAGCTGTTTTCAGTTTTCGAAATGTGTACAGACGAGCAGAAGGTGTAGCTATGGGATCACCGGTTTCTCCAATTGTTGCTAACTTATTCATGCATTCATTGGAAACAAGTACAATCTCAATGTGTTCCCTTTCACCAAAATTTTGGTTAAGATACGTAGATGACACTTTTATCATTATAAAATGAGATAATTTAGACGAACCATTTAAGCATGTCAACAGCATTTCTGACAAAATCAAGTTCACTAAGGAGCTGGAATCCCCTGAACGCAAATTAACTTTTATAGACTGTTTAGTTGAAAGGAAATATAGATCAGAAGGATCCTAACTATTCAAAATATAAGAGTATTCTTTCGAACAAACAATACTCTAAGATCAAAACTCGAATACACAAGGAGGAACAACAAAATCGTGTTCATGAAATCAAATGCAGTGACTGTAATGCCACATATGTAGGTGAAACATCAAAACAACTAAATGTGAGGATGAAGAAACACAAACTAAGCTTAAAGCACATTCCCAAATCCTTAATTGATGTAAAAAAAACTCGAAAGGAAACCAGTGATAGCATTACACTCGATAGAGTCGGGTCGCACAATTGATTTCAACGGCATTATAATCCTGCAAAAAGTCTTTGGTTCTTACAAAGAAAGACTAACAGCCGAAGCCCTACACATATGGGCAAATCCAAAAAGTATTAATAGGAGAGATGGAATACAATTGTCCCGTAGCAACTAATAATTAATAAGTAAACCTGAACTCCTTATTTCATTTTATCTATCTCTTATCTGAATAACAACAATTACATTCAACGGTTCTAATCAGTTATCTAAATATGTTAAACAATTAACTGGAACATCCCTCTATCTTGTTTATTTATCTTCGTTTTATGCATGCTGTGATATTTTTGATTCATATCACATGTAAAAACTGTATGTTTTCTCAAAATTCTCCGACCAGAGACAAGACATAGTGAATGAAATTTCTTTTCAAACCACAATCTTATCTTAACACTTCGTTTCATACCACATGTCTTACACATTCAAGCAAATAACTAATTTAAACATTGTTAACATTGATTGGGTGACTTGTTTAATATACAGTGAACCAGAGAACCATGTACCTATTTATGTTCGATAATTTTAATGTTTGATTAAGTTTCCTTGGCAAAGCTTGAATTAGATTGGTAGGCGAAACGGATTTACTTCAATCATTCGCTGAAATTTTACGAATAAATTATTCCTCTTTATTGAATAGTTGGTTCTCCTAGTAAGGTGTGAATGAACTATAATTCCATCGGACACTGATTGCATTGTGAATGAAAGTTGAAATCCAGGTGGAGCAATGTGAAATACTTGGGAATAGCATGCACTAGGCAGAGAATGAAGAAAACATGCAAAAGTAATCGCGTTTACATAACATATAACTTCGTCGATTACGTGAAGTCTGGAACTACTAGACTAAAGAATATCAAGAAGTCGACGTAACAAAGAGTCTGATAAGAATACAACAGTATGAGATACTACGGTTTACAACAGGCCAAAATAAACACCAGGATGAACAATTTCAAGTTGAGATCAAGACATATTTAAATACAAGTTAAAAGTTAAAAATACAGAAGCGATCTACTACTAATACTACAATCGAATTTCAGGAAAGCATTTTAGGTCTATTGCCCTATCTTCTTGTCATGCCTTTTGGAGGGGTAAACAATAAAACCGAAGCAACAACAATAACCAAGAGATTTACCTTTTTGGTTCTTTACTCTTCTTGGATCCCTTAAACTTTGCAGCCAGTCTAAGTCTGTTCTGTTCAAAAGTGTCGATGCCATTTACTGGAGGCTCTAAGAATATTGTGATAACTTCAGAGCGAAAATACCTTCCAATTTGGATTCGGAAACTAGACTTTCCTTTTGGGCGATAGGAATTTCTTTCACATCAAGCTCAGTATTTTTACCCTTTCGGACAATCATAGAGGCGACAGTCTTTTTTGACTTATCAGAATCCTCAAACTTCCGCATCTGTCTACACAGATATATGAATCAAAAACTGAATTTACTTGGCACTTTTACGAAGGTCCCGGAACTCGTCTTCAGTACGTTTCAGAGTAGCTTGATAAACAGGTAAAAATTCATCGTAAGATCCAGTTATGTCGTGGTTTACTAGTCTATTCTTGTACTTGTCCCTAAATTCCAGAGCTATGTCTGTCAAAAATTTATCCACATAGTTTAATTGAAGGACATTTTGATATGCAGCCTGAAAGTGTTACTTCTTCAACAAAACTTACAACAAATAACAGGTTGAATTCATTATCCATGTAAAATTTCATAGCCCTAGAGTCGCAAACAAAAGGTGAGCGACCAGCATTCTCCTATAGAGCATGATTCCCTAAATCGCACAAAACTAACCTCTAATATGAGGGATTTGAGGAATGTATTTATTGATAACCTGAATATATCTATTGATCCGGGGAAACACCACAAACGAATACCGCCTTTTGTGATAATCACAAAAAAGTCTAACATCTTCACCCCAAACGGAACGATACGTTCAAAGAGGTGGTAACGTGTCCTTCACTTAAACAAATACTAACGTAAGCCTAAATCAGTTCTCAGGAATAAAGGTGTACTTTTTGTTCTGAGCACTACTCTCACTCCGTTCAGATTGTTTAGTTTTTTGACTTCAATCGCGCATAATCACTTACAAAAAGTGTTTTTTTTTATCTTCAACTGCAAGTTCCAGTTTCAGTTTGGAAAGGGCAGGAGGCTTGATGGCCTGTGTTGGTCCTGGCAATGATGGTCTCTGAGCTGATCCAACTTTCTTTTGAAGGAGTCGACGGATGGAGCCTCAACCACGTGCTGAGGTGATGAATTCCATTCGTTGATTATTCGATGGGAAAGTCGGTAGTCAGCTGACAAGTAATTCGTTCGAGGCTTGTGAACTTTTTTGGAGTGTCCTCGTAGACTTTCTGTCTTGGAAGACAAGAAAAATGAGGGCATATCAGGTGCAAATTTGTCATTAAGCAATTTGAAAACTGTAATCAAGTCGCCTCTGATTCTTCTATATGACAGCGGGAATAGGTTTAGCTTGGTCAGTCTAGTACCATACGGGAGCCTCGCTATTCCGGTATGTTTTGTTTCTTTCTGTGAACTTATAAAACTAACAGACAACACATACGGAAGACATCAGTCTATTTTGTCACGAGGATGTTTGCAGCGACGCTGTGTAATAAGATACAGTTTGTCTTCTTAATGGACTAGGCAGGATTAAAATTTGTGGAGCAGCCAGTAATGGTAACTAAATGTGGAAAATAAATAGTTCTGCAAGTCTTCAAAACGGATACCATCCAGATTAGTTCAACTAAGAACACTACCAGCTGAAGGCATCTGTTCAAGTATGTGGGTTATGTCATGTTCAGGCACTCTGTTGCACTGTGATAACTGATCAGCCTCAAGTCCATGCACCCAACCTACAATGCAAGCGTACTTTCACGAACTTTCACGTACATTCACGAATTTCGACCTCATTGGGAATTAAACCGTTGGATGGAAAGGGATTTCGGACAATGGAATAACGAATTTTTTAATATTCATGACCTTTCATAGAAAACTATTTATAAAACGGCAGTGGTATTTTTTATCGTCCGGTTAATCAATTTTTGATTGTGTCTCAAGGTGTAAGAGCTTTTTTTATACTTATTTGCGGTGGATTTTCAGTTACAGTAACACAGAAATTTCAGCTATTTGTCTTCAGTGTCTACCACTTTCAGAGCTTTAGAAAAACCTACTTTGGAAATGCTTTCTGTTTCTGTCGTTTTTTGCGTAGTTCTCTCTGTTAGCTTGTAACAGCTAATGTTGATCAGTTAAGCGTTGATCTCACACAACTAAGTTTGTCAAAACAAAGCGCTCAAGAATTTATTCACTTCCTTATTTTGTATAGACATTATATTTCCCATTATCTTACATCAAATGTTAGTAAGATTTGTAAGTTTTAACAGGTAACCTCCCGCTCCACTCTGTCCTTGTCCCACGAGAAAATAAAGACCTGTACACTGCTAGTCTGGTTTCTTCTATCAATAGAACGAAGGTTACCTACAGGCGCGAAAAGATCACTTGACAATTCTAGGAGAGCAACCAGAAAATCATTTTGGTATACTCATATGCTTCTTTCAAATCCGCCTGTAGCTCCTCCAGGGGCTACTGCCGGTCCCAAGCCCGGGTAAAGGAGGAGGGTTGGGCATGGGGTTAGCGACCCCATCCCGTAAAAAATCAACTCGCTAAAAAAACGCTAACCAGAAAAAATCATTCAAACCTTTCAAACTCTGCCCTGGGAGTAGAAGGAATAATTATGACGTCTCATGATGAAAGCCGAGTTCCTTCGGAAGTCATGAGGCCGATGCACCTTCTTGCAACCAGAGCGACAATTTTTATAGGTACATGGAATGTCCGGACAATGTGGGAGACCGAAAGAGTCTTCCAAATTGCTGCAGAAATGAGAAAATACAACCTGGAAGTGCTTGGAATCAGTGAAACACATTGGACGCAGGTTGGACAACAACGACTGTCTTCAGGAGAACTTCTGTTATACTCCGGTCATGAAGAAGAAAATGCCCCACATACACAAGGAGTGGCACTGATGCTGTCTAGAAAAGCACAAAATGCACTTATAGGATGGGAATCTCATGGACCAAGGATCATCAAAGCCTCCTTCAAAACAAAGTGAGAGGGCATTACAATGAACGTCATTAAATGCTATGCGCCGACCAATGACTACGATGAAGACGCTAAAGACCAATTCTACGATAGGCTGCAGTCGATCGTCGAGAAGTGCCCAACCATCGATGTGTTAGGACTGCAACTGATGCCCCCAAATGCCCTGGTACAGCCGAGAGTGGGGAGAGTCCGCTCTCCCTCTCCAAATGCTCTCACATGGCCACGCCTATATAGCCTCTACCAGGGAAGTCCTACTCACTGCCTTCTCGTGGCATTATTGTTGTTTGCGAAATTGAGAGGACGAAAAGCGAATGTCCGGCGCTTTAACCGGGTCGGTGGACGCGGAGGGTCCACCTAGGGGAGTTGGAAAACCCTCGTTCCAAACCAATGGTGCACATGGGCTTCAGGATCCTGATGGAACGAATGGTGTATGAACCTATTATTGGTCACCGGCTACCATGGGACTGCACCTCCTCACGATACTCCACTGCCTTGTAGATCAGATCTTTCGGTCAAAGGCTCCGGGTGTGGGCCCTTAAGAAAACCACTTGCTTTAGTTTGGGCACCTGGGCAGTATCACAGCCCTCACACAAATCGAATGAGATTTGTATGGCGTATATATATCTGGTGCTTCCTCGTACCAATATTTGTGTTGAAATAAAATAATAATAAACTGCAACTGGTCAGTCTCTAATTGGCATATGTGAATACTGTGCGTATTGCCTCGATATAGCCTAAACTCACAAGCATGGTAAGCGAAGATGGATATTGGATTCGAGTCCCAGAGTGAACATCAACAAATCTGAGGTGCAAGTACATCCAGCTGACGAGTCCCAAATAGGACGAAACGCGAGTCAAACTGAATTCCACTGCTAGCCACTATCCATCTTTGCTTACCATGCTTGTGAATTTAGGCTATATCGAGGCAATACGCACAGTATACACATATGTCAATAAGAGACTGACCAGTTGTAGTCCTAAATATCAATGGAAATATTCAAACAAACAATACCAAGTTGAATTTAACTGATAAGACTGTATATATTTATCAACGAAACCGGTTAAAATAGTAAATAAACATCTATCATAAAAGCCAGAAAGAGTGTGTACATTTACACCTGATAATTTATTTAAAGTCGAAAATCATTGACTGTTGATCTGAACGGTGTTAATCCGGGTATGACATAATAATTATGACCAATGGTTGAGGAAACGTTAGGTGATACTGTTCAAAATCAATCACAGAGTAATGCAGGTGTTTTGATTATTTATCTTCCACTGAATTGTGCATTTCAATATTATTTTAAAATATTTTTTCTATTCATTGATATTAGTATATCGACTCCTAAACTATATCTTCTTTGGATAAGTTCTCGCCATACTGACGTGTTATGGTAGCTTGGGCAACTACATATTTCTTACTTACTCTAAATTACGGTTCAGTGATTTATGTTAAAGTCAACCAGTCATATGTGAAAAACTCCGCCTGTAGCTCCTCCAGGGGCTACTGCCGGTCCCAAGCCCGGGTAAAGGAGGAGGGTTGGGCATGGGGTTAGCGACCCCATCCCGTAAAAAATCAACTCGCTAAAAAAACGCTAACCAGAAAAAATCATTCAAACCTTTCAAACTCTGCCCTGGGAGTAGAAGGAATAATTATGACGTCTCATGATGAAAGCCGAGTTCCTTCGGAAGTCATGAGGCCGATGCACCTTCTTGCAACCAGAGCGACAATTTTTATAGGTACATGGAATGTCCGGACAATGTGGGAGACCGAAAGAGTCTTCCAAATTGCTGCAGAAATGAGAAAATACAACCTGGAAGTGCTTGGAATCAGTGAAACACATTGGACGCAGGTTGGACAACAACGACTGTCTTCAGGAGAACTTCTGTTATACTCCGGTCATGAAGAAGAAAATGCCCCACATACACAAGGAGTGGCACTGATGCTGTCTAGAAAAGCACAAAATGCACTTATAGGATGGGAATCTCATGGACCAAGGATCATCAAAGCCTCCTTCAAAACAAAGTGAGAGGGCATTACAATGAACGTCATTAAATGCTATGCGCCGACCAATGACTACGATGAAGACGCTAAAGACCAATTCTACGATAGGCTGCAGTCGATCGTCGAGAAGTGCCCAACCAAAGACCTGACCATTCTAATGGGAGATCTCAATGCCAAGGTTGGAAAGGACAACACTGGATACGAAGACGTCATGGGACAACATGGACTGGGAGGAAGGAACGAAAACGGTGAGAGATTTGCAAACCTATGTGCCTTCAATAAACTGGTCATAGGTGGCACCATATTTCCACACAAAAACATACACAAAGCCACTTGGATTTCACCGGATCACACTACACAGAATCAAATCGACCATATCTGCATCAACAAAAAGTTCAGGAGGACGATTGAGAATGTGAGAACCAGAAGAGGAGCTGATATAGCATCCGATCATCATTTGCTGGTCGCCAAGATGAAACTAAAACTCAAGAAGCACTGGACAACGGCGCGGACAAAATCACAAAAGTTTAACACGGCCTTTCTTCGAGATGCTGACAAACTCAACAAATTCAACATAGCCCTCAGCAACAGGTTCGAGGCCTTTCATGACCTACTCAATGGACAGGGGACTACCATGGAGAGCAACTGGAAAGGTATCAAGGAGGCAATCGTTTCAACATGTCAGGAGGTTCTGGGCCAAAAGAAGCACCATCACAAGGAATGGATCACTGTTGGTACACTGGATAAAATTGAAGAAAGAAGGAACAAGAAGGCAGCAATCAATATCAGCCGAACAAGAGCAGAAAAAGCCAAGGCACAAGCCGAATACACAGAGGCAAACAAGCAAGTGAAGAGGAGCACCAGGACCGAC